AAAGATGAGCAACCCTTCCCCATGCATTTTAAAGCCTCTGAAAATCTGCTAGTGGGTCAGCTATGAGTCAGTTCTGTGACTTGATGCCACATGGTAACAATAACTGGTTAATAATACTGACTTATTACTGGCAGCAAATGGCCAGATTTCACCCTGTTATATACACAAAACATTCAATAAAAGCACTTCACAGGAATAGAGTACTCCTTCATTATATATTCAGAGAACAAGAAAGCGGACATTTGTTAAGAATTTTCAATCTGCAATTCTTCATGTGTGTGTATACATGTATTTGTTGGTGGTGTTATATGCTGGTGAGTGGATTATAATTCATAGTGACTCTGAACAACAACTCTGACCGTCGCCCTATCCTGAGCCAACCTCACCACGTCTGACACACCTGACCCCATTGCCATACCTACTGTGTCAATCTGTCTCATCCAGGATCTTCCTCTCCCCAGCTGACCCTCTACTCTTCCAAGTCCTTCTCCAAGGGCTGGACCCTCCTAGAAACATGCCCAAAGTATGTGAGATGGAGTAATAGAAGAAGAAACTAGTGATAAGAAGCCTACTGGTAAGAAGGTGTGCTGCAGTCCTGAAGGCATGTAGTTCAAATTCACCACTGCTCCACAGGAGAAATGTGGGCCACGTCCTCCCATGTAATTAACCCCCTCGGAAAATGCGCTGGAGGATCAGCTGTGGGTTGGTTATAACTCAGTGTCACACAACAACAAACAACAATATATATATTAGTGGCAAGAAGCTACACTGCAATCCCTAAGGCACACGATTCGAATCCACCAGATGCTCTGCTGGAGAAGGAGGGGCAATCTCTTCCTGTGCCAGTTGGATCCAATTCGACGGTATACAACAAAAGAAAAAAAACCAACCAAAAGATGAAAACAATATATGTGTGTGTGTGTGTGTGTGTGTGTGTGTGTAGTAGCTAGTGTTTATTCATGCTCTAAAAACTCCTCCTGTCATCGAGCTAATTCAAACTCACAGTGACCAACTATGTAATTTCCAAGGTTGTAAATCTCTATGGAAAAGACTGCCCATCTTTTTTCCAGAGGAGCAGCTGAAGGATTTGAACTGCCCAGCTTTCAGTTAGCAGCTTCAGATATAACATACCACACCTAGTTCTGACTAAACATCCCCCGTGCACAGAACTCAAACAGCACAGTTCTCTCAGTACATTCCCCAACCCAGGCTGCTGGTCACCTACTTGTCTCTCCTAATTCTCTCTGAACAACAGGATTGCATTGCTCTGATAACATACAGAATTCTGTGGAGACATTATCACCAACATTTAAGATGGCTTTTTAAGAACTTAAAACTAAAAATATTTCTAGTTCCCATGCATGCAAATGCTAATTTCAACATGGCATCTCCTGCTGGTTGGCAGCCCACATGTACAAGAAATCCAACAATGGCCTCAGGGGACAGTTACAACTTTCAGTCAAAAAGCACTTATGCTAGGTGACAGAGCTAAATATTATCTCATTGTGTAAGTTCTCTCTTTCTCAGCAAAAGTGTAGTTGGAGAAGTACATAAGAAATCAACTTGACTCATTAAAAGACACAAAGCAGCCAAGACAGAAATCAAACCCTTGGATAATGGCAACCAGATAACTAGTGTCTGGAAGGTAATTGAATTGTCCTACTTAGAAAATGCATATGAGAGTTGGACAACAAATAAAGATCAGAGAATTGATTCATTTTAATTGTGGTGTTGGTAGAGTATTACTATACCAAGGAGTTTCCAAAAAGATAAACAAATCTGCTCTGGAGGAAGTGCAGCCAGTTAGAGGCAAGGATACTTTGGGCATGTTGCTAGGAGGTACCATTCCTTGGAAAAAAGATCATGCTTGGAAAAGCAAAGCATTAGTGAGAGGAAGACCCTCAATGAGATGGATTGGCCCAGGGACTGCAACAGTGGATCTCAGTATGGTGAAGATCATGAGAATAGCACAGGACAGGGCAAGGTTCTGATGTGTTGTTCACCGGGTCAGCACATAATTATAATAATGCCTTGTAAGGACAACTGCTTCTACTGGAAAGAATACAAATATCCTTTTCTCCAAACACCAAAACCACTGTGGTTGAGCTGACTTAAACTCATGGTGACCCTCTCTCAGGTGAAGGCTGTAAATATTTATCGACTATCAATTATCAACTATCGATCTTTTCCTCCTGGAACAGTTTGTGGACTTGAACCACTGACCTTTTAGCCCAACATGTAATGTACAATATCACCAGGGCTCTTTACAAATTCATTGTTATTGTTGTTATATACTGCCAAGTTGGAACAGACCCAAAACTGATCCTCCCATGGGTTTTCCCATCTTTCTCTCCTGGAGCAGTTGACGCTGGAACAGTGTGCCTTTGGGTTGGCAGTGCAGCTAGTAGCTAAAAATTTGTCACAAAGTATGAACAGTATTGTTACATAAGAGCTGTTAGAAATAGGGCTGTTTCCCTGATAATTTTTTTTAAAAAATAAATTTTTATTTTATACTGGTTTGCCTACAAAGTTTGTATACATTGTTCATCACACTGGATCTTACCCATTTAGTCCCAATGCAAAGGTTGTGTTATTGAATGTGTGTGTGTAGGTATGCAAAGATGTATGCATATTTAGACGTACACACATGCATGCTTCTTAATAAACGACTCTATAGAAACAAAGAAGCCTTTTAGGAAACCATATACCAGACTTCTTTTTGTCAAGTCAATACTGACTCATAGGGACTCTCTATAGGATAGAGTGAAATTGCCCCATAGGGTTTCCAAGGTTCTGGTGGCCTAGTGGCAAGAAACTGCCCTGCAATTCTGAAGGCACGTGGTTTGAGGCCACCAACTACTCTGAGGGATAAGGATGGGCCATCTCCTGTGCGTGTGATTAACAACCTCTGAAAACCCACGGGAGGGTCAGACATGGGTCAGTTCCTACTTGACAGTGCACAACAGCAACAATAACTATTTACAGAAGCCGACTGACTCATTTGTCTCTGACAGTGTGGCAGATAGAGTTGAACTGTGACCTTTAAGCTGGTGAGTTCTAAATGAATCCTTTAGTTTTGCAGAAGAGACCTTAACCACAAGGCCACCAGAGCTCCCAGGTTATGTACATACAATCAGATTAAAAGTCAGCATAAAATGAAATGAGGCTAAGACACAATGATTTTATGACATGTCAAAATTAGTTTTCTGTGCAAAAATTCCTGACAAAAATCTTGCTCTGAGAAAGCAGGCAGTATTGGTTTCTTGCATTAAAGTTCTCTGGTGGAAAAGCGTTACCTTTTCATGTGCCTGCCTTAAGGTCATACCACCTGTGAACTAGTGTGACAGAGTAGAGATACTAGATAATGTATGTGATGCACTCACAGACAGAGCTAACCTGGGAGACTAAAATAAAATAGGAGACTAAATAGGACTAAAATAGGAGACTACAGGTTTCAAAGGAGCTCTAGTGGCCTAGTGATAAGAAGCTCTGCTGCAATCCCAAAGGCACGTGGTTCAACTCAAGTAACTGCATTGCAGGTAAAGGGTAGGCCATTTTCTCCCTTGTGATTCACTGCCTCGGAAAACCCACTGGAGGGTCAGTTCTGAGTTGATTTTGGCTTTAAAAATCCCCTAAATTTCATGTGTAATCTGCACCACAGATGATACCAATTAGAGCTAGTTGGTATCCAATATTAAATTCTACAAGTTTCAATCAGGATTAAGTATTATTACAGCCTCATTACCTTTGAGAGATATAAAAGATACTGTTTTCATAGTTCATGATAGTCTCACATAATTTTGAGCATATGCTAAAATAAATGCAATCCATTTTAGCAGATTTTATTAGTCTTTTTCTTTTGTTTCTTCCAAATAATAAAAATGTAACTTCAAAAACTAAAATCGTGTCTAGAATCAACCCTACTTCATAGGGAGGTTTTTAGAGTCAATGATTAATTTCAGGATATTTGGAACAGCTATACTGTTGAATAATTTTTTCCCCTCTGAATTTCACAGGTAACATTTGAAACAAGTGGTCTAGCGAATATAGGCAATCCTGATTTATGACCACTTTTGGAGGGAATACATTATTATATCATTAGTAATACTGCAGTGTTACAGCCCATAATTTGCTGGTGTTACCATTCTCAGTTGTTCACAGGCACTTGTTCAATTTAAGAACCTACTGTTCAAAAGCCTAGTAGATAGCGGCCTGTGAAAATATTTGTTATTTTTAAAAGAGACATTCAACTTGTATCCCAATTAGTTTAGGATGCAGTTGTCAGAAAGCTGCCCTCTCACTGTAAATTGGGGGCAGCCTCTTCTGGAAATCATGTGGGAAAAAAACCCTGCAACATTCATAGAAATACCCAATGAGTTACTAATTAAAAAGCAGAAATCACTGAAAGAAAAGAAGTAGATCAGAATGGGTTTCAGTGTCCCGATCTTAGTATAAGTTTATCTTCACAAGATAGGTCTCTTTCCAACACAAACTGCTGTTGAAGACTTGAAAGAACTCATATTGTGCAAAATGCATGCAGCCTTGACAAATCCACCTTGATTTAAAAAAAAAAAAATGGAAAAAGTGCTTCCTCTACTACTTTCCTCCATAACGCAGGTTTATTTAAAGTCCAGGAAAAAACTCTGGGACTAGGTTACCTTTTTATAACATCATAGCTTTGCAACCCCCTTCTCTCAACCACCAGTACCCCAAGCAAAATATGGCACCATTTCCCTCAGCAATCAAACACACAAAAGCAGTGAGCAAAGAAGTCACCACATATATTTCTTACAGGGTTAAAAACACTGGTAACATCATTCTCATGTCAATCACTTAACTCATCTACATGAAGTCACTGCTTCACAAATGCTAAGTGCTGCCTGTGGTGGGCAGAGAATCCAGTACAAAGAGCGGAGTGGAGGCGCAGCCAGCCCGCAGGGCAGTGGAAGTGCCGGGTCCACACAGGGTTCCCAGGCAGCGTCTTCCAGGGTGGGAGGCGGCTACACGTCGCTGGGCGACCGCGCTCTCTGCGAGACGCTGGACGGGACGCAGCCACAGCAGATCAGGCAGAGCGCTTTTTGGATCTCCTGGTTCCTGAAGGCATAGATGACCGGGTTGATGATGGAGTTGTAGGTGGCGGGCAGGAGGGTGGCGTAGGTGTAAATGGAGGGGTAGGTGTAGTCCGCGATCAACGAATAGAGGGTGAAAGGCATCCAGCAGGCCGCAAAGGTCCCCAGGATGATGGCCAGGGTGGACACCCCCTTCCGGGTGGTCACGTAGTGCGACGTGGCCAGGAAGTGGTGCTGCAGGGCGATCTGATGGGCGTGCCTCATGACGATCTTGCAGATTTGAATGTAGAGCTGGAGCATGAGCGCGAACATGAAGAGGAAGGAGATGGAGAGGATGGCGGCGTTGTTCTTGGTGAGCGGCCTGACCACGCTGCACGTGGCCTCGTCCTGCAGGCAGTTCCAGCCCAACACGGGCAGCAGTCCCAGGCAGATGGACGTCCCCCAGAGCAGGACGAGCATGGCATAGGTGAACGTGACCGTCCGTTCCGAGTTGTAGGTCAGCGCGTAGTACAGCGAGAGGTAGCGGTCCACCGTGATGGCCAGCAGGCTGCAGACGGAGGCCGAGAATGAGGCGACTATGAGTCCCACTGTGACCAGCTTGGTGGCCTCTGACTGGAGCAGGTAGGCGAACGCGAAGTTGATGACCAGCCCGATGCCCGCCAGCAGATCGGCCAGGGCCAGGCTACCGATGAGCAGGAACATGGGCGCGCGCAGGCTGGGGTTGTGGAAGATGATCAAGACCACGACGGCGTTCTCACAGGAGATGAGGGTCCCGGAGGCGCACAGCACGATGTCCCAGGGGTTCACCACGAGCTCGGGCTCGGGCTCCACCGATGGCGTCTGCGAGGAGACGGCGGCCGAGGCGTTCTCCGCCGGGCCGACTTCCAGGTGCTCTCGAGGCAGTGCGCTTGCATTGACCTTCAGGTCTTCATTCATTTTAACCCCCGTGCTCTTCAACGAAAAGACAGGGGCGTTTAATGCTCCGAGGCCACGCAGGGGGGCGGGGAGGTAACGACAAGGCGTGCCCATGCACCTCGAACCCCAACCAGCAGAAAGCTAGTCCCTGCTCACACGCGACGGCCCCGCGCCTCTAGTCCCATGCACCGAAGCTGCTCTGCAAGAAGACAAAAGCAGAAAAGTCTCAGCGGTTTACCAGCCGCCGCCCGCGGGCGGCCAGGGTGAGCGAGGCGGGCGCGCGCGGGCCGGGGAGTCACAGCTGCCCCACATCTGGGCTGCTGCCGGGACCGCCACGCGGCTGCGACACGGTGCGAGCGGGGAGCTGCAGGCTTCGATGAAATATTTAAAGCGCCCCTTTCTGCTGACCTCCCATCCTCCCCAAAAAGCCCGCACGCGCATGCACATACTCACATACTCCCCAAGCAGAACAAAGAGGGGTCCCAGACGCGCCCCAGGTGCACCAGGTGGGCCGCTCGGCCCTGCCAAGTCAGGTAGGGCAAGCGAGTGGAAAAGGAGGGGTGGAGACAGGCAGGCAGGCAGGCAAGGGGACCCACAGATGTCCATGTACGGCCACCGCCCCCTGACCACAGGGTGCGCATTGGGCTCCGGGAGTGGTGGTCCCCCGGCAGGGACCATTAAGGCGGTCACCTTGGCGCGCCCGGGCGGAGGGGGCTCCTCTGATACTTCCAGCGCGCACGGGCTACTCTTCTCGCATCTTTGCGCGGGGCCCAGCGACCAGGGGCGGTGGCCACTCGGGGAGGGCCAGGAGGGAGCGAGGCATGCGGGCGTCCTCGGCAGGTGAGCGGCTCAGTGCGGTCGATTCACGCCTGCCTCCCGCGCCGCGCCGAGCTGCGCGCCCGCTCCCCGCGCGCCCCCGCACACGTGCGCGCCTCCCCACCGCCCTCCCAGTCCCCCAGGCGCGCGCCACCACAGGGGGCCGGAGGAGGCCGGCGCGCCACCCTCGCGGCAGTCCGCGACCCGCGACCCGCCACCTCCACTTAAAGCGCCACCCTGAGCGCTCTCATGGAGAACTGCACCATCACCCTCCACGGAGGCTCTGCCCCGCCCCCTGCGTCCTGCATCCCACCCCAAGCCTGGTCCAGGGCTCTGCACTCGCGCCAGCGCTGCCTGAGAGCCCGCTGACCTATTTCGCTCCGGTGGTGTCCCTGGATTCCAGACTTACCCATGCCTCTCCCTACACGGCTGCATTTGTGGTAAAAAGAATTGCTTGGCATTGAGGTTCAGGATTAGTGGCGGAGACGGAGAGTAAGCAGGTTAGCGAGCCAGAGATTTTAGAATTGCCTTTGGCCACATTGCACTCCTTTCCCAGAGGGACTTCTTCCCTAGTTGCAACCAGGGCCTGGTTCCTTGTTACTGTTCCCCCGAGCTCAAGCTTAAGTGGGGACTTCATGCCGCCATCTGAATCATCATTACAATCATCAAATTGCACTTATTAAGTGCTCCTTGAGCTGTGTTTTCAAATGGAAATCACTTACTGAATTCTTGTTAAAGCTTCCTGCAGGCTCTGGCCAAAACCCAATTCCTTTAGGTACTGAAGCGGCTCAGTTGATTTATTTGCTCATTTTGCCACATCAGTGGGTTCTAAGATTAAGAACCTGGTAGTTGTCTGCTTTTATAGCCTGGGTGAAAAAACCAGGTCACCTAGTGTATCTGAAGTGTAACGATGATTTCCAGATGAAAGAGGAAGATGGGGAAGACTGGATATTCTAGTCTTTCTCTTGGACATTTTAGCCCTCTGCTTTCTCCACACCCTCCAAAGGTCTCCCAGGCATCTCTCTCTCACTCTGGGCTCCCAGTCTGGATCTCCTTCTCCTCCAGTTCAATCAGCTCCCAGCTCCCTGCACTCCAGTCCTCAGCATCCCACTTGCAGCTTTCCTCTCCTGGACACTCCTGTTAACACCTGCCTTTCACATCCTGCCCTGCTCCACCCTGCTGCCTGGCCACACTGCTTCAGCTTGTCAAGGCCACCCTACCAAGGCCACAAGTGCCAAGGTGCTTGCTGCCTCCCAGTCCAGGCCCTCCATCCTTTGCCCCAGTTATTCTAGGATCTTCTCTCTGCAGCACCTCCTCTCAGCCAACAATGCATTCCCAACACCTCTGCCTTCTCCAGCCCTTCTGCCTTCACCCTTCAAGGCCCCTTCTCTTCTCTGCAGCTTGTACCACAGAGAATGACCTCTCTGTCCTCCATGCTCACCAAATGGTGCATGATATTACTACATGTGGTTGTTAGCCCTTGAGTAGACTACCAGCATAATGACCCTAAGGACAACAAACAGTTGGTAAACTTACCTTGTCTTGCATCATACTCTCTTTTCCTGACCCTCTACTTTCCCAAGCAATGTTGTGCACTATTGAGTTGGAACCGACCCATAGCTGACACTCCAGTGGGTTTTCAGAGACAGTAAATTATACAGGAGGAGATTGCCCAACTTTCTCTTGCAGAGCAGCTGATGAGTTCAAACCACATGCCTTTGGGTTGGCAGCACAACTCCTTACCACTAAGATATCAGATGATATATATATATATATATATGGAGAGAGAGAGAGAGAGAGCGCGAGCGAGTGAGAGAGCACGTGTGCTTTGGTGGCCTAGTGGCAAAGAAGCTGAGCTGCAGTCCTAAAGGCACGTGTTTCGAGGCCACAAGCTGCTCCGCATGAGAAAGATGGGCAATCTACTCCTAAATGATTAACTGCCTCTGAAAACCTGATAGAAGGTCAGCTATGTGTCAGTGCTCTGACTCTATGGCGCACAACCACAACATCAGACACACACACACACACACACACACACACACACACACACATTATATAATAAAAGCTCTGCCAGTGAGTCAGTTGTGATTCATGGTGATCCTCCATCAGTTTTCTGAGACTTCTTTGCTTGAGGAATCTGCTTTATCTTCCCCCCAGGAGCACCTGGTGGATGGGAACCATCCAACACATAATCCATTCTGCCACAAGGGCTCTCTTATTTTTTACATGGTGCAAGTAGAGGGTCAGTGACAATGACTTTCAATGAGCTGGACTGACACAGAGACTGCAACAGTGGATTTAAACACAGCAGAGATTATGGAAAGGTTGGCATTTCGTTCTATTTTGCACAGGGTCCCAGTGAGTTGGAGGCAGTTTGAGGACCCCCAACAGCATCATCATATTCTATGTGTGATTGTATCTCCAAACAGACCAGACAACTGGGGTGGAGCTCAAGGTACACATCTCTCTCATGAGATGTTGATGCTGCGACCTACACACCATACTCTGAGAATCAAGTTGTGCAGAGTTTGAGGGTCACTCCACAGGATCCTGTGGGTCTGAGCAAACAGGGCACTTCTGCTTCACCTGCCTGCCTTGTCGTCTGCTCCTGGGCTCTGTGAGCTGAGGACACAGAAGAAGCAGGGAGGTGCTGAGATGGGCTTGCAGAAGGCTAATTTGCAAGTGGATAGTGTGGCCAAGCGGTCTAAGGTACTGGATTTAAGCTCCAGTCTCTTTCAGAAGGCTCATTTGCTAGCTGTGTAAGTATCTTGAAATGTTCTTCTGTCCTTAATTAATCACCACTTTGGTGCAAGGAATGAAAAGGATTGTTTGGGGCTTTAACAGTAATGGTAATTATTGTTAAGTTTACACCTGGATGTTCAAATCAGGACTGCAACAATAGAACCACAAGATTCCTTGTTTAAATTTAGCTGTGAATAAAGCTGGAATATCACATCTATATATTTTGGCTTTTACTCCATCTTATATAGCCACTCCAAAGACCATATTTTCACATGTAAGGTACCCCTAAAAATGCCTGTATAGCATACACAGTACCCATAGGAAACAGAGGAGCACGGTTTTTAAAAACAGTACACTGCATCGACTATTATTTGTACAAACAAGATGACAGAGAAGAATCAATGCTTTTAAGCTGTGCTGTTGGAGAAGAGTATTAAACAACCATGGACTGCAAAAAGACCAAACAGATATGTCTTCTAGAAGATATAGCCAGAGAGTTCTTTGGAGGCAAAAGTGCTAAAGCTTCATCTCACATACTTTGGGCATGTTGCTAGGAGAGGCTATTCCTTGGAGAGGGACATCATACTTAGAAAGATGGAGGGCCGGCAAAAGAGAGGAAGACTCTCAACCAAGTGGATTGGCACCATGACAGCAGCAATAGGCGTGAGTGTGTGTGTCATAGATTGTGAGGATGGCACAGGATAGAACAGTGTTCAGATCAGTTGTTATAGGATCATTATGGGTCATACTTGACTCCATGACACCTGATCACAGCAAAACCTTTGTATATAGATAATTTTAAATAAATTTTAAATACATTTTAATAAAGATAATTTTAGTCAGTATCTACAGGTCCCCTTGATAGTCAGCTTACTATTCTGAGAACTGAAAGTTCTTCTGAATTTTTATTTGTTGTCTGTTAGTCACCCAAATCCTTTTCTCTTTCCCTGTGTTAAAGGTTGTGAGACCCAGCAAGTTGAGTCACAGACGAGTGCCTGAGAATTCTCAGACTCATTTTAAGCAGCAGCAAACACTATCACTTAATCTTACTCTGTCTTTCCTTCTCTGTGGGTGAAATCAGTATTATCCAAACAAGCCCAACTGTTAGTGGTCATTATGAGGAATCACGACCATGATGAACCAAAAGGAATGTATTTAGCTCCATAATGTAGGAGGACTTTCATTCGAGTGCCTCAGACATGAAAACCATGGACATCAGTGAACATTTCCACTCTTCTACCATTTTTTTTTTCATCTTTTAGGCCTCCTTTCCTTTTTCTAGGGAGTGTTGATGGTGCAGTGGGTAAGTACTCAGCTGCTAACCCAAAGGTTGTCAGTTCTAACCTACTGGCTGCTTCACAGGAGAAAAATGGGGCGATCTGCTTGAGTAAAGATTCCCAATCTTGGAAACTCTATAGGGCAGTTCTGTAGGATTGCCAGAAGCCTAAAGGAAGCCCTGGTGATGTTATCTGTAGAGACTTGCACTGCTAATGGAAAGGTGCCCTCTCTGGCATTTAACTCCACCAGTGACTCCTCAGGAGAAATATGGACAATCTACTCTCCTGTGAATAACAACTTCTAAAACCCCTCTGGAGAGTCAACTCTAATTAGCTTCTCATTTAGTGACAAGGAGTGATCGGAGTTAAGTTGAAAGAGACTCAATGGCATTGGGTTTGTTTGTTGTTGTTAGCTGCTGCTTTTTGGCTATTCTTCTAAGTACCAGTGCTTTCTGCAAGCAACAATACAATTAGAAGGCTCATCTGTACCCAGATTCATGAGCCCATGTATTGTGTGACCCAGTGGGATGTGATTATTTAAGAGGACAATAGGGAGAGCAATGTTCATTTAGTCAACCAATATGAACCCAGTACCTTTGGGTGCCAGGAGAGGTGCTAAAGTGCCAACAGATGCAGCAAGGTGTGGCCTCTGTGCCTGAAGTCTAGTGGAGCCCACTGTGCCACCCGCCTTCCCCCCGCAGTTGCCACTGCTATCAAGTCAATTCTGACTCAGAGCCACTCTGCAGAGGAGAGCTGCCCCGTGGGGTTTCCAGTGTTGTTATCTTCATGGAAGCAGACTGCTGCAGCTTTGTCCTGCACAGCAGCTGGTAGGTGTGAACTGACACCCCTTTCCTTTTTTATAATTATTGGCTTTATTAGGGAAGTTAACAAGAGTTGGCTACAGGATACAAT